GAATGGTTTGTTTTCTTCACCTTGATCAGTCCTGCCTAAGACGGCCACCTGTCTTATACGGCCACTTTTCTCCGTGACAATGGGTGGCCGTCTTACACAGGTTTGACTGTACTAGCCTACTGCTGTCAACAGGTGATCTACCTCTTTCTCTATCTCAAACTACCATCACTACAACTATTTTACACTTCATCATCTGAATCTGAGTTCATTGAATCATATGGACTCCGAATCTCTAAAATTACGAGCACATTTTCAATTCATATCGGCCTGAGCATCACATTAACATTTGGTTGACTTCGGCTGCCCCTGATGTTCAAAACAAAACCCAGAAACAGGACAAAGGGAACTCCTGTTAAAAAAATAGGTAGAACTTCAATGGAAATCATTCTAATAAAGTGAAACTTCTCTGAGTGGTCAAAGGGATGTTACTCTAGTAATTGGGCTATGCCGTTGCCGCATATGTGTCGGCAATGAGCAGAAATAAAGAGGAAACTATGCGACCGACAGGGGTGCGGTAGTGGCGGTGAGCGGTGGTTGCCTATTGACCGACACAGGTGCGGCAATGGCAATGAGTGAGTTTTGATTGAATCATATCACCAAGTCAGTGTTGACAGTTCAGTCTTTGAAGATAATTTAATTACAGATACCCGACCATATCAATGACTTGCTTTTTTTAGTGAGGCATCATAATGCTCGAATAATTCCAGAACTAGCAATTAAAATATTTACTAAATAGTACAATTCAGTAGTAAATGATAGGTTATATATATTTAATTTATTAATGGCTATGAGCAATGTAGTCTAGTTTATGTAGCATAAATTAAAACTTAACTTCGTTTTTCCAACTCCCCTCACAGTTTCAAAACTAAGAGTATTCCTAATAGGCCGCCGTATCATGTAATATTACCACCAGTGCTTGATCATTGCCTATGTCCTATGTTCTCACTTTTTGACATAATAGCATCAACTCATCCTACCATTACGGCACTAGGATGCGTGTGTGTGTATGGAGGGTGGTTGTTATTGTCTTTCTTTAAAAGTTACTGCCACCCCCATCCCCCTCACCCCTCACCCCTACCCCAATATTAATCCCAAATTTAATCATTCTAAATGTGGCTAATTTTCCCTTTCTATTTTTCTTTGCAGTTTTTAATCAAGTGATTAAAAAAAAAGAGAGAAGTTTTCATCATGGAAGTTCCTCATATGAAAGTTGATCAGACAGACTTCAGAATTTACAGTAAGGAGGAAATCCTTCAACTCAGCGTGAAAGAGATTGTGAACCCACAGACATTTGATTTACTGGAGAACCCTGTACATGGAGGTCTACATGACCCTGCCCTTGGTAAGCGATTTTGTATACATATGCTACCTCAGAAATACAAAGTTCTATCTGACATTTTTGGCTGTTTTGAGTAACATGAAGTCAGAAAGCCAAGGCTCTATCAAAATCGTAAGAATATTAAAAGTCGTTATCAAGATATTCAAAGAACTGCATTCGAATTCGAAAAAGCTTGACATATTGTGAAACTCAAACATTTTGACCTCAAATTTAAGAAAACTACGCATTGAGCTGATAGAGATCTTTGTAATTTAAGGTAGCGATATGTTGATAAAGTGTAATCTGTGTTTTATGACTGAAAATTGAGAATCAAGCCAGTCAAGGGACAAGATGGAATTCCAACAGCATTAAAAGTAAACTGAATTTGAAAATATTTTCCGTTTTGTTCACGTTGTTTGTCCTTCAGTCTATCTGTTAGGAGGAGAATTATTGAGACTGTTCTGTTTTTCCAAAAGTTAAGAATATGAAGTGTATCAAAATTCTTCTTTGATAATCTCAACCAGCCAAGAACCCCAACCAAACTGGATTTGTCCGGGGGGGGGGGGGGGGGGTTAAAGTTGATATGTATATATATTTTAAAAAAAAATTTTTTTCCCCCTTTCAAAAGACCCAATTGGTTTTGCATACATAGAAACAGATTGTTTTCTAGTGACTATCAGACAAAATGCAATTGATCTTATAGAGCGTGGAAATGCACCATGTTATGACATGCTACATGAGTATTGTGGCCAGTATCGAAGATGATCTGATCAATAGGCCTCTCTGTGCTCTCATGTTTGTGTGTTTGCTGGGTTTCGTTTCCATTTTTTTGAGGTTTACTTTATGATCTTCAGGGTGTATGTCATGATTCACAGGAAATTTCTTTGATTATGATCAAAAGTGTTCACCTGCTCAAATGCATTTATGTGAACTTTGAGAAATGAGCCCTTTTTTTTTTTTGTACTCAATGGTTCCTGTTATTAGACAGCACTTACAATCTGTGATTTTGTTTCTTTTTTTTTTTTTTCCAAGGTCCTTGTCGGCATGATGACCGCTGTGAAAGCTGTGGCCAGAGTGAAAAAAATTGTCCAGGTCACATGGGCCATATAACCTTACCAGTTCTCCTGTATAATCCTTTGCTTTTCAAAACGTTGGTCAAGGTGAGAATACGTTCAGTTTGTCGTGTGGTTTAATGTAGTCATGTGTAAATATGATTCTTACATGTCAGTTCTTATACATTGATATGTTGATGGTAATTTTGTCTTCATTTGGGGTGTAAAGAATTATTCCTGATTCTGCTTGAAGTTTTTATTATAATTTCAATTTTTTTTTTAGAGTGTAACTGTTGATGTGTAGTTTTGGATTATAGTACTGTGAGAACACAACTTCTGAACTGATAAGATTATGAAAATTATTTGGTAGTGTTGTTTTTATAATTAATTTGATACCCCTTAAAAATATCAAACAATTCACATGTGCAGTTCCTGTGTCTCACCCAAACAGTAAGAATCATGATGTCACAAAACTGTGACATGACAGACATAAATAATCAGATTTTATGCTGCTAAAAAAGCAAGAATAAAAAATGTAGTTGTTCTGTTTTATTTGATGAATAATATTCTTCTCTTTTATATTCTCTTGTATGTAGTTTTGTAGTACTGTTAGTTAATTCCTCTTTACTCCTCCCCGTCTGTGTGTAAAGGTCTTGAGGGGAAGTTGCCTGTCGTGTCACCGCATCAACATGCCCACGCTGGTCAAGCAGGTCTACACGAGCCAGATTCAACTCCTCGAAAACGGATTTCTCACAGAGGCCCAAGAGCTGGTGGAGAGATTCTCTCATTCTGAGAAAGCCAAAGATATCGCAGTCGCAGAAGTGGAGGCATATGTGCTGGATGTTTTGAGAAGTATGATACAGCTCTTGGCTTGTGTGTTTTTCCTGTCTTTTTAAGATATTGAAAAGTGGGGTGGGGGGGGGGGGTGTTGTTGTTAATGGGTTGTATTGGTATTATGAACTGACTATGGGTATGAAACAGATTTTTTTTTACAAATCTGAAATTCTTCTTTAGATCTTGTTTGTTAACATATTTTTGTACCTCATTTGGACTCAGGTTTGTTTACACGAAAGGATGGTCCGTGTTTTCTGTTTTGTGGGATGGTTGATGGGTGCTCTGTTGAGGAGTGGGTGGTTGGCGGGTGCTCTGGTGTGTTGTCGTTTGCTTTTTCTTTCCTATCCAACATCTATCATCTTTATCTCCCCTCCTTCTTGTTTGTGTTTGTCACTCTCTTGTAACAGCTCTAATCTTGGGCATATAAATATGACCTTTTGTGTTGCGAGTGCCGTAAAACACTTACTAAAACTAACTCTGTTGAGGTGTGCATTTTGATCTTCCCTGCTTTGTTTATATTTATTTTATCCTAGCCAAATGTTGCTGATGTTTGGCAGTCTGGCCAGGCAAGACTTCAACTTATCGACTATATGTTCCCTATTTTTTCTTGTCAGATTCTGACAGAGCTGACCACTCCATGTCCAAGAACAAGCTGACACAGATCAAGAATACAGTGAACACTGCCTTGAAAAGTCTGACCACTGTGTCTTCGGTTTGCTGTCACTGTGAAACTCAGAACCGCTCCCTGAAGCCTGAGTACAATCACAGTATCATTGGCACAAAAGTGGAGGCTAGAAAGTCTCTGCAGGCAGTTAGAGCTCAGAGGTGTGTATTTAGTCACTTTTGTTACACTCGTACAAAAAGCTTTCGTTTATCCTCTTGATGTGAATGTGTTGTCCTTAATTGTCACCTTCAGTAGCTGCAGAAAGAATTCTATAGTCGTGAAGTGAACTTTCGCAGAGGTGAACAACTTGTGTTTCGCGCGCTCATATGACCTTAGCAGTTGCGAGCGCCGTAAAACCTTATACTATACATACATACAGAATTCTATGTAAAAAGACATTTTCTGTGGGTGGTTGGTGGGTGCTCTGGTGTTGTTTGCTCCTTCTTTCCTGTCAAACATCTATCGTCCTTATCTCCCCTTCTTCTTTTTTATGTTTGTTACTCTCTTGTAACACCTCTAATCTTCTGGCGCTCATATGACCTTATGCAGTTGCGAGAGCCGTAAAACCTTTACTAAAACTAACAAAAAAACATTTTCTCCTGTCATTTTACTTTTTGATTCCAAAACTGAAGCTGTACTTCTTATGAACTGAGAGACAGAAAGGCAAGGAAACAATAAGGTTCATACGATGAGTTTTTACAAAATTATTGGGTGACAGTTAGAGTTTTTATCATTATAAATTCTTGTGGATTGAATTAGGTTTATTTAATTGCCTTCTGCTAACAGCTCTTCAAGTTTTATTCATATAACTGAACATTTATTTTGCATAAACCAAAGTGACTCAGGCAGACCTCTTTATTCTTAGGCTGATGAAACATGATGGTTGACAATAGTATATATAAGTCGCTCACACATCAATGTGTTTATTTCGAACTTAAGTTTCTTTTAATCCTATCTTGCCATATCAAAACCAGGACCAGGGAGTTGTCGGAGGAGCATGAGGAGGAGAATGGAGGAAATCGAGAGGAAGAAGTTGTGATGGAGGGAGACAATGAGGAAAAGGAACAGGATAAAGATCCTGTCAGTGAAGACATATCATTAGACAAAGAACTACAGACACAAATGGATCATTTCCTCAACTCTAAGCACAAGCGTTGCATCCTGTATCCCAATGTCGCTAAAGAGCACATGAAAATGGTAGGTGTCTTCCAACTGAATGTTATAAACAATGCTGTTGTTGTTGTTTTTTTAAAGAAAGATTCAGTGTGGGTGGTTTGCGGGTGCTCTGGTGTGGTTTGCTTCTTCTTTCCTATGAAACGTCTATGTCTTTTTTATGTTTGTTATTCTCTTGTAACACCTCTAATCTTCTGGCGCTCATATGACCTTATGCAGTTGTGAGCACTGTAAAACCTCTACTAAAACTAAAAACTAAAAGATTCAGTAATAAGATCTGCCGTTAATGTTGTTTTACAGACATCTCTTGCTTTACATTTTGAAAAACAGCATCTGGCTCGCATCTTACTTCAACAGCAGGCAATGTTGTCATGCTTAGCATGGTTTATGCTTAACTTAAATAATTGACAGCTTCTTGAAACAAATTATCTATATCTGTGACGGTTGTATGGAAATGGAGTTGTTAAAGGCTGTTTATGTTTTTTTGGTTTTTTAGGCTGTATGAGGGGATAAAAAAGAAGCAACCCCACTTTCACATTTGCTGTTTCAGGAGAATGTAAGCTTCATATGAATGACATTCCCATTCATTCCTATGTGTATGTGGCTGGGATTTTTTTGTTCTTTTGTTCTTTTTTTTGGTTCTTTTAAACTGTGTAGGGATGATTGTTTAAAAATACAGTATGCAGGGACATTGTTATACAGCGACAACAAATGTTTAAAAAAAATTATCTTTCGTCTGGATTTCACCAGGTTTGGGAATATGAGAAGGAGTTTTTATCCAAAATTCTTCCGTTCCTGACACGAGTGCACGGAGCAGAGGTTGCCACGGAGGTCTTCTTCATGGAAGTGCTGCCAGTGCCTCCTACGCGGTTCAGACCGGTATGTTCTGAATGTCGTTGTGTTTGCGTTTGTGTCATCATAGTTATTTCAGAAAAAAAAATTTTAATTTCTTTTTTGAAAATTTTGGCAAACTAAGATTCAGAAGATTAAATTTGACTCGCAATGTCACTTTATTCACATTCTACTATGAATCTCTGCAATATATCAGTCATGATGACACAAAATGAAAAATACCCTGAAAGTAATTTATGGAATATATAATTGTTTTCTCATTGCTTAAATTTCTAACATAAGCATATAAAAGGGTGAGTACCACAGAAAAAAAGGAATTCTGAACGTCTTTGTGTTTGCATTTGTGTCCTCATAGTTATGTCTGAAAGAAATGAAACACTTTCCATGTTCATATTTTAATTCATTTTGTGAAAATTTTTGCAAGCAAAGATTCAGGAGATTCAGTTTGATTCACAGTGTATGCTAATGGTGAAAAAATGCCACTTTATTCACTTTTTACTATGACTCTGTGCAAAATACCAAATATCTTTCGAACATAACCACGATGACACATAATGGAGAAACGTTTGTCGTCGTTTTGGAAGATATCATCAATTTACATCAAATTTTCCCCTCTCGTTGACATCTAGCCAAGCACGTGTAATTGCATGTAGATCTAGTACTGCTTGACAATTGAAATGCAGTGCGATGTTAATCATGACTTCGTTTAAATTTAGTTAAATGGGGGAGAGGGAAACATTTTTCGGACATAACAGCTTTTTTCGAACAAAACATGTTAACGGTGATTGGGTCTGGATCGATAACAACAAGGTGATTGGGAAAATTCTCTACCCTGAGTCAGAAAAAAAACGTGCAAAAGGAGAGAATCATGATCATAATTGTTTGAACTTTTGAGATTACTTTACATGTGGAGTGCTGGCCTTGGGTCACTAAAAAAGCTTTGTCTTCAGCACCTGTAGTCTAACCCAAACACAGTTGCTCTCTCTCATTTCCATTTAAGAGATATGCCCAGATTGGTTGCACACCTTTGAACTGTTCAAGTATTAAAAGAAGACAGCAATGCTCTGAGATGACTGCATGGAAATTCTTTGCTTTCACACTGTTTATATTTAATCCTTTTTAAAAAATGCGTACGCTGAAGTTGTTCTCTTTTCAAAAATGAAAAAATAACCCAACTTAACCCAACCCAACTAATTTTTTAATGAAAAGTTTGGGAAAAACTGGTGTAAGTTTTGAATAGCATCTCTAGAAGGTTATTACGTCAATTGATGATCGTTTCATTCTGTTCCATAGCTCAGCGTAATGAAAGAGCGCAAGTACGAGCACCCCCAGACAGCCAACCTGGCCAATGTGCTGAGAGGCTGTGTAGAAATGAGAGAGATGTTGCGAGCGTACTCAAAGAGAGTGAAAGGGACAGTGAGGGACAACGTGCAGGTGAGGCTATCTGTCTGTCTCTACATGTTCATGATTTGTTTATGATTACTTAGAACCATGCTTAATTCTTTTATGACAGCTGTATTTTTTCCTTTTAAGATAATACTTTATTGTCCCAGGGGGAAATATTTCGTGGCCATACAGGACCGTAAAAACACATGCAGGTATACATGAAAATTAAATTATAAATTAATCTCATTATAATTGAACATGAAGAGAAAAATTAAGCTGACAAGTACATGTCACATTAGATGCATTATTTTGTATGTAATGGTGATAAAACAATACGTCAGCCAGCTGTGAAAATGTAAGAGCCCAGAGAGAAAAATTGTACAGGAGAGAGAAATAAGTGTTTCCCTCTTTTAACAATTGTACCAAAATTTTGTATTTTGTTCTTCCTTTTTTCAACATTTAGGATTAGAATTTCAACAAAAATACCACAGATTAACTCTTTCCGGACGTATCGCCGATATATTTGCGAAGATGGGGTGCCTCAGTATTGTTTTGTTTTTACGTGATCCGTCATTTATTATTACTTTATATTGCTATTGAAAAACTCGGAAAGGATTTAGGAAAAGAGAACATCAAGTTTCACTTTGTCAAAGCGTGAGTTTGGGGAAAAACAAGTGAATTAGTTCTTGCGGTCTTGCGTCAACAAAATGATGTAACCGGACTCGGTATAAATTTCATAACTCAAACAAAAATTGAAATATTGCTTTCAAACAAAAAGCTGCGCATTAAGAGGGCGCCACCGAATTTTGAGGACACTATTTTAATTCATAATTGGCTCAAAGGGAGGAGTGAACCATCTTGTTATGTACGATCATTGATGACGTGAAGGCAAAAGGACAAACTGGTTAAACTTAAGTTTTTGCTTTGATGTTGACATTAGAAATGATACTCTTACAATCTAGTGAGTTTTTTTAGATGGCATCCCTCGTCTTTTATTTCTCCTAGGGTCTGGCCATGGGAGAGAGCAGCGACAGTTTGGCCGCTCACATGCATCGCATGTCCCAGTGCTGGGTGGGCCTACAGTCCAAGGTCAACGTTGTGCTCGACAGTGATCTTGACAACATCTCCAAGGAAAAGTTCAATGGAGTGAAACAGGTAAACGTAGATTTCTTTTAGAGGATGATGTTGATGTGGGTGTGTGTCATTGACTGTAAGTGTGTGGGCATGCCTGTATATGGATGGGTGGACTGGTTCTGGGAAATACGTAATCTGATTTTGACTGGGTTGTCAGTTTGTTTTTTGTCCTAAAAGTATCACGCCTGACTTGTCCCTGCATTGTGTGTGTGTGCAGGCGTGCATGTTTATGAGAGTGTGTGTGTGTGTGTGTGCGCATGCATGTTTATGAGAATATGTGTGTGTGTGTGTGTATTATGTGTGTGCAGGTGTGTATGTTTATATTATGAGAGTATGTGTGCAGACAAGCATGTTTGTGTGTGTGTGGGTGGGTACTAATCCAGGGATGCAGGTTTTTGAAGAGTGTCACTGGAAGGTCCAACTTCGGACTTGCTCTTCTCTAGTGCTTCGTAGCTGCTTTTGTGTTGAGTGTCAGTGGATTTCTCATAGCTATACTTGACTATTCAAATCTAAGGATCTATGTAATCTGGTTTTAACTGGGATGTCTATTGTTATTATGTCTTTGCTGACATTTCAAAGCCATATTTTTTGGCATGTATTTTAACTTTAAGATTAATTTTAAAAATGTTGTGAAAGAATGATGTGAAACAAAATATGTTTATAATTTTCTTTTGAACAGCTGCTTGAGAAAAAAGAGGGACTTTTTCGCATGCACATGATGGGGAAACGTGTGAACTTTGCGGCTCGCTCTGTTATTTCTCCCGATCCGTACATCGGGACGAAGGAGGTGGGAATCCCGCTGGTGTTTGCCTCCAAACTCACGTACCCTCACCGCGTGACGCCCTGGAATGTGCAACAGCTGAGGCAGATGGTCATCAATGGTCCTAACAACTATCCTGGGTATTGGTTGTTTTTTTATTTGCCTGTATAATAAAAATGCTTTTAAAAACAAAAGCTTTGTATGTAATTTAAAAAACGAAATTTTGAATTTTTCTTTGTTTCTTGTTTCAAAATATACATTTAATAGCGTGCAGGTATGGATTTATTATTCAAAAGTAGATGTGTGTCTCCTTTAATCATAAAGAATGGATGGGAAAAGGGATATTATAGTCTTTTCCATTCTATTCCTTGCTACTATTATTGATTCTACTGATTGTAGTATTTTACCTTTCAGCCCACTCTATACAAACACATATTTTACAATGCTTTTTCTGTTCTGTGTGACATATAGTGCTGTCAGTGTCATCAATGAGGATGGGAGTGTGGTGAGGTTGAGCCCGACCAACGAGACCCAGAGAGAGGCTATCGCGAAACAGCTGCTGGTGCCCGACAACGATCACGGTGGTTCTAAAACGGTGAGGTTTTTTTTTAAGGGGGGGGGGGGGTGCTGCTGTAAATATGTAAACTTTACTGGAGATTTTTCCAGAGCAGGTCTTTTTTCTGTACGTTGACTTTTTTTTTTCTTAGAAGCCACTGGACAAAGGTCTGCACCAGTGATTTTAGACTAATTTAAGGCAGGGGCGTACATCACGTAAAACTTTGCTGGATAGACCAAAAGGGTCCTCTAAAAGAATATATCCACAACAGTAGTCACCCACCTATCCCCTGACCAAACCTCTTACCTCCTCTTGACATGTAACGATACAGGAGAAAAGAAAAAGTCAAGTAAAGAGTAAATGTTCTCAAAGTTTTTGTGAAATTTTATCACCAAAGGAAAGTGGTCATTTTTACTGTTTTTGCTTAATTATACTGTAACTGTCTTGCATATTTTTTCTGTCTGAAAATGTCCTTAGTGCTATTGAAGGCGGAACATGAATCTTTAACACTATGCCCCCACGGGATGCCAATCGGCGATGGTAAGAAGCCGCTCCTCTTCCCCCACAGGACGCCGATCGGCGACGGTGTGATATTGCGTGTACCGCACCTGTATCCTGGTCTGTGGGGATAAGTGTGTGGGTGAAAAGTGTTAAAATACCGCAGCCAGAGGACTTGTGTGTTGTATTAAATGGGGAGGGCTGTTTGTTTTATTTTTGGAGAACTAAAATTTGTGTCTGCTACGTTGCACAGGTTTGCCGTCATCTGATCAACGGGGACTACTTGCTGCTGAATCGTCAGCCGACCTTGCACAGAGTCAGCATACAAGCTCACAAGGTAGTGGATCTAGTTGCTATGCTGTAGTTATGGAAGCTTGGCCATTTTCTTTGTCTCTAGTTTTTCAAGTGAAAGGGAGAGGAACCTTTGTTTTGTTACTCCTCGTGAGTTGAGGAAAATACAACATGCCTTTGTTTATGGAGTATTATTAGGACTTTTTGTTAGTTTTTGTATTTTAAATGATTTATGAGTTTGTTAATAGTTTGTAGCAAATATAAACCTAAGTGGGGTTAACTCTTTGGAGACCCAGCGGACACATACGTCCGATGAGCACCAGAGCAAAGGAAACGTTTCTGCACATTGCAAACCATCACTCACAAATCAAGAACACGAGTCTGCATATTTTGAAGAATGGTTTGTATGTTGGTACATGCCTTCTTAAAGTTTCAGATTAAGAGAACAAATTCGAACAATCTTGTTTGTGAATTATGAAGTTAAACCCTAAAACAATGGATGTTCAAGTTTTGTTGAGTGCCCAGAATGAACGTCCTCAGAGAGATAATGTCTATCTTTGACACGGACAGTGGGGTTAATGTCTATCTTTGAGATGGACAATGTGGCTGTAGTTTCTTAAGGCTGAGGAAAAGTTTGAATTTTCTAGTAATCCATGCCAGTAGGGATGGTTGTTACAAATATCTTATTTCTCATATGATTGTTCTTTTCCTTTTTTGTTTGTTATATCAGCATTTCATTTTTTTAAACTTTCCAATGATTTTGTATTTTTAAGGCTGGAAGTATGAAACAAAACTTTTTACTTTATAATTTCTTCTTAGGCAAGAGTTCTGCCCAACATCAAGACACTGAGAATGCATTACTCCAATTGTAAAGCTTACAATGCTGATTTTGACGGTGATGAAATGAATGCCCACTTTCCTCAATGTGAACTGAGCAGAGCGGAGGCTGAAGCTATTGGTAATGTTATTTATGATAATATTCATCCAGAGCTGACACTCATTTTTTTCTCTGTAATTTCATTTTGTCATTTCCATTTTCCATCTGATAAGTGTGTGATCTGTGGACTGGTCCTTTCTTTCCAGTTTATCAATCTTTTCTGTCTGCTGCTTTACTTTTTGCCGCCACTAATATTGTGTTCCCGTCAAAATAGTTTTCCATTTGTCAAAATTAATGTTTGTCATGTAGATTTGTGCGGGAAAAGTGAAGATGCTGTAAGGCAAAAGCTAGTTGTGATTTGAAATCGTTTTGTTATAGATGATAATCATTTTGTCATTATTAAACAAATGTCTCTAAAGAATTTGTGAGGTAATGATCTGGCACTTTGCCATTATTGTGTTGAAGTGCTTCTCTTTACCCAAACAAAAAAACAACAAGCCTTTTACTTGTAGAATGTGAATCTGATTCTCGTGTAGGGAGATGTTTTATTAAGCCTTTCTCATTCATGTGGCTCAGTGGGGCAGAAGCTACTCTAGTGCGGTTTGCTCCTGCTTGTCAATCAAATATCTATCATCTATATCTCTCCTCCTTCTTTTCTTTGTATTTTAATCTCTTGTGACACCTCTAATCTTTGGTGCGGGTGGTTGAAGGGCGCCCCTGGTAGGTCCTACTTCTTCGCACTTTCCCTCTGTTGTTTCTGTCTGCCTGTCTTTCATTTTCCCCAGCACTAAATGACCATTATTGTGTCGATGTACTTCTCTTTACTCAAACAACCCCCCAAAAATTTTTGACAGTTGTAGGTGCCGTAAAACCCTATCTAAAACTAAAACAAAAACCTTTGGTGTGTGTCGTCTTGTGTCCAACAGTGTGCACTGACCACCAGTACCTGGCCCCCAGAGACGGAGCTCCCCTGGCAGGTCTTATCCAGGATCACATGGTGGCCGGTGTGGCGCTCACCATCCGGGGTCGATTCTTTACGCAGTGAGTGCTTTGTCATATTATTGTGTCTCTGTCAATTTTTGTTGCTTTTAAGCACAAGAAGGCTATCCTGAAAAATGCTGTTTTGGGGAAATGGAAGGTAAAGTTTTTGCCCCTTGTTCAGTTTCTTTAAAAAACAAGGAGAGTTTTCTCTTTTACCAAGCAAATATACTCACCAGTGAAACCAAACTTCTCCTATAGGTAGGGCAATGCCCACTTTTGGTGTAGGCCAAGGTTTCTGGAAACCCCCGAAATCTTGGTTAGCCCGCTTGTCCTTAAAAGCGACCATTTTGCTGTGGGTGATTCCAGGGCACTGCTGGAAAGTCTTCTATTTCTTTTTTCTTTCCCTCCCAATTTTTTTGGTATGTTCTTCTTGTGCTTTTCCTCTGATCTAAACAATCATTTGTGTGCAGATATGCTTTTCTTTACTCAAACTGAAATCAACTCATCATTTTTGTTTTGTTTTATCTTGTTTACCAGTGAGGTTGAATATTTTAAAACTTTCTGTGAGTCAAACTGAAAAATTATGAGCAGTTTGTAAAATTCCACCTTGATTTACTGAAACAGGCCCATGCCAAAGAAGTAGTGAGTGAAGTGTTGTAAACGTTGAAGGGGACTGCATTCTGTCTCACTTTTATCATTAAGAAGAAGAACACATTTTATGAGATTTAAAAGTATTGTTACACATTTGTAGAGTTAGTTAGCTAAAGGATCTTTTAAGTCGAAGGAAATGAATAATTATGCTCGTATGGACATATTTGATGTTGACTTTAGTTACCTCTTGGCCCAAGTTTCTCAATCAAAGAATGATTTGTTTGTGATGTCTCTTTCTTTATGTAGTCAAGACTATTGTGGCCTGGTGTGGAGTGCCATGAATGACTGGAAGGCCAAAATTCGCACGGTCCCGCCAGCCATCCTCAAACCACAGCGGCTGTGGTCAGGAAAACAGGTAATATGGGCGTTTGATATAGCATTAGACCTGTGGTACTGTGAGTGGTGCCAGTGCCTTGCCTTTCTTTACATTTTGTTTTTGGTATTCTGACTAAGGCCACAAACTAAATGAATGTGTAAAGGAATGTATGAGTAAGGTAGATTTAATGTGTGCGGTTGAGGAAATGAATATAAGTGGACTTGGGTGATGGGAATTGTTTTCAGGCTTTTTTTTTTTCATGGTTGAATGTAAGAGAAAGGCTATTGCTTCAAGAAAGGAAAAAAAGTCTTTCCTTTCTGTATGGAACAAGATGTGAGTTTGTTCCCATGAGGCCCATGAGGTTTTAGTGGGTGGTTGGCAGGTGGCCTGGTGTGGTTTGCTACTTCTTTTCTATCAAACATCTGCTGTCGTAATCTCTCTTCTTCCCTTCTATTCTTTGTAAAAACTAAAATTAAAGATTGTTTTATCAAGTACCTTTGTATTTCTGCTGAGATGTTTCCCTCACAATCCAGGTTGGCTCTAAGCCTATGTCTCCTTATGCGCGATGCGACATCGCTAGCGATGAGCCGTGAGGTGTGTATCCTTATGGGCGATGAGTCGCGAGGTGTGTATCCTTTTGCGTGACAACATCACACGGCTTGTCGATTGGCACTCCTTTGCTACGTATTTTGACCAATGATGATGCTTTAAACCATCACACCCCCTGTCTGTCCAGCGCGACAAGCTCTCAATCGCTTCATGGACCGATCACCGGCGACGGTCGCGTGCCGCTAGATGTCACGTAGTGTGCTAGGAGATGGGTCTTTTATTATCTTACTTGATTGTTTTTGGAGCGGCAAGGACCATGTGTCATATCGCACATAAGGAGACATACTCTAAGGTTTCAGGGTGTAGTATCTCACTTGTAAATTATCTAGAAAGAGTCAGTGAAATGTGAAATGTTTACTCTAATTACAATTATCTTCCTGTTTATTAAATGTGTTTAGATTAGATTAGAGACTGATGGCTGATTACTGTTGGTTATATGGTAAAAGAAGTTTGTATGTTTGTTGAAGAAAGTAGTATTCTTTCAAAATTAAACTCATTACTGTTTATTTTTATTACAGATCATCACTACCATATTGTTGAACATTATACCCAAAGATAAAACACCGCTGAATTTACAAAGCAGGGCGAAAATCCCAGAGAAGGTTTGTTACGTCAAGAGTGGTTTTGTTTACTGTAAAAAAAAAGCTCCATTTATTTTGTCTTTATGTATGCCTATAAGCGTTTGTGTGTGTGATTTTATTTGTTTCTTCTTTTTTTATTCTGTGATACTGACGCAGTTCTTGTACTTTTAGTCTTTTTAGTCTTTGGTCTTTGAAAGATTAGATATTAAATGGAAGGTTTTTCCTGTTAAACTGACAGCTAGTTTATTCATCACTTCTGGTTAGTTCATCACCCACGTAGTTAGATGGGCACAGTGGTTTGGTCTTCTGTTATCATTTTTTCCTTTTGTGACCAACCATTGTCCTAGTTTGGCAGTGGTGCAATGTGACCTTTATCATGCTGAAAAGCTGAAGCACTCCCCTTAAAAAATGTCTATTCTGTTCTTTGGGTGCTGGGTTTTTTAACTTTTTAGCATTCCTTCCTTTGTACCTCATATTTATTTCTGTTTTTTTTTAAGCCTTTTTTATTTTAGCGCACCACCATTGTTTTGTTGATGGGTTGCTCTTCAAGCAAATATTGGTATAGACGATGTTTGCTACTTTGCTTATGTTCTGTTTATTGTTTGTGGTGAGCTGTTCCAAGGGGATACAAGCTGTTGTACACATTTGAGAAAATGCTTTATGATGGCGTGATGGCTCTTTTTGTTCAAAATGAGTACTGTCACAGGAGAATTGGTCGCTTTTAAGCACAAGGGGGCTATCCCGAAAAATGCTGTTTTGAGAAAATCAAAGGTAAAGTTTTTAGACCCTTGTTCAGATTCTTTAAAATACGAGGAGAGTTTTCTTTATAACCAAACAAATGTGCATACCAATGAAATGAAACTTCTCGTATAGGTAGGGCAATGCCCACTTTTGGTGTAGGTCAAGATTTCTGAAAACCCCCGAAATCTGGGATAACCTGCTTGTCCTTAAAAGCGACCAATTGATAAAAGGCCAGATTTAGAATAAATTTTAAGAAAAATGATTATTTTTTTCTTATGTTAAATAGCTCTTTTTATTGAGTAGTTGTTTACATGGCACACTATATTTTTTATTTTAATTATTACTTTAAAGTTTATTATTTTTTGTTTGTTTGTTTGCTGTTGTTGTAATAAGATTCTGGATTGTTTCTCTTGACTTGGGAAATTTTTCCATATTGTCCATTTGTTTTTTATGAGACTTAAAACATTTTGTTTACCAGAACTGGGCCAAGTGGAACCAGGGTAGGACCTTGGGGCCTTTGTCGGGGAACTTGGAGGAGTTAGGAGAGAGCACAGTGATTGTTAGCGAGGGAGAACTCCTGCAGGGTGTGTTGGACAAGGCCCACTACGGACCCTCGGCTTACGGTCTGGTGCATTGCTGCTACGAGGTAAGCTTTGCTGTCCAGTTACTTGCTGCGTATTACATGTCATGAGGAGCGATATTGGTGCTCTGGCTCTCTGAATAAATCTAAATGTGCTTGTTGGACTGGGTTTTTTTTTCTTAATTTAGTATCAGTTGATATGAAAATGATGTCTAAATTGTCTCTCTCTCTCTCTATTTTTTTTTAGTGTTGGTAATTTTATCCTACTAAATTTTAATTTCTTTTTATCGCACTGTTCATTAATTTCTTGTTTCACTGAGAAATAATAACCCTCTATTCTTTTTGCTGACTTTTTTTGTTTTGTGCAAATTAAGTTATTAGTTTTTACACCAGTTAACTAAAGTGCAAAAGACTGCTGCCTACTATACGTTAAAGTTGCTTTGTAGCTATGCTGATGTTCAGCATCATGAAATTGAAGCCACATGAGGGATGATAGCTGTGAAACTTTGAGCTGGGAGGTGTTGCATATTTTCTGCACTGCCAGAATTACAGACATTTTGGATATTTAACTCTTTGCCGCCTCATCTGGCACATTGGTGATGTTTACCACCCAGTTTCTTTGGATTTTCCCCAAAATATGATGCCTTTTCAGTTTTCATGTTATGTTTTATTGATGCAGTCTAATTTGTTGAAGAAATGTTGCAAGAATTAGGTTGCCACCATTCTTGCGGCAAACGTTTGGCTGTTATTGTGTCTATGATTCTATCCCATTGCATTTGTTCCCCTCAGCTGTATGGAGGAGAGGTGGCTGGACTGTTTCTCACCTACCTGGGCCGTCTGTTCACCTCGTTCTTACAGCGTGTCGGCTTTTCTCTCGGTGCTGGGGATATCCTGGTGCAAAAGAAGGTATGTGTCAATTTACTCGTTATCTTTTTTCTTATTTTTTTTCTTATGGTAAATATTTTTTCATTGTGATTTTTTGTGCGCTTGCTTTTGCATATTAAAGATGGTCAAGTTTTGCAATGTAAACACAGAAGTCACTTGGAATTTTTTATGTTTAAATGGGGTTTTGACTTTTAAAAACTAATTGTGGAAAAAAGAATACTGAAAAATATACATTGTTTTTTCTCCTAAAGTATATGTAACTTTGTAACTTTTCTGTTTTATGCAGCAAATAAAGGATACTTTGTTTAGATCTTTTAGCAATGCTGAAAAACATTTGTACCACAGTACGTCCTGAGATTACAGGCATGCCAGTTGTAGAACTTTGCATGAATACTGACAAAATTATTGTTCAGAATAGAATTATGTGCATAAGTTTGATATTGTTTGAATACAGCTACCAAAATGCACTCGAGGGATTTTTCTTTTCTGTTTGGAGCATTTATGTTATGGTTTTTGCCTTTAATCTGGTAAAGTTAAACCTTGGTTTTTATTAATAGGCTAAAGAATTAATCCATCAGAATGTCTACAGCCTGGGTATAAAAGTTTTAGAAAATAACCTTAAAGAGTTTTGTTGTCTTCTTCGAAGTCGTTATTTTTGCTTAGCGTCAGTTGTTATCTGTGTACTAGCGGAAGGGGAAAAAAACTGGGGTGAAAGTTTCCAGCAGGTTACAGAAGGGGATTGATTGTTCATAACAATGGTAAATCAGGAAATTCCTAGTAAGGAACATCTGACACGGGTCTCAGTATTCCGCTATTTAGCTGATTTCTGCTACAGCTTTTCCTCTGCTAAACCGCCACTTTCTGTACATAATCAAGATTGTAAATATTTGGTAAGTGACTCTTACTTGAAATTATCTTCCAAACCCTCAAATTGGTATGAAATAACCTTGCTTTGATAAATTGATAGCTTTTATTTCAGCATTCTATGTTTAAACAGTATTATAGTATAATAACAATGGGTGTCTCGCGAAAATGGTCTTCTGTCGCGATCACGGGGAAAGTTCCTCTTTTTTAAAAATCGATATATTAATTGCTAAAGAATCCATTTTTAATGGAACTTTGTTTTTTTGTTTTTGTAAAAAGTTCTATTTTTGACCTTTCGGTTTCCTTCTCTCTTGTTTGACAGGCCAACAAAAAGAGGAAGTCCATCATTAAAAAGTCTCTGCATCTAGGCAGGGAAGCAGTGAAAAAGGGCTTGGGTTTGAGCGACTGTGAAGTGGATGAAAGACAGCTGTTGTTAGAATTGAAACGTGCTCACTTCGACAAGGGAGGCAGTCGTCTGGCAGAGATTGACATGAGCATGAAGAACGAAACGGACAAAGTGCAAGATGGCATTGCCAAGTAAGACTTTACACCATACCTTTTATTGCAATAATTATTGCACGATCAGTGGTGTGGGTGGTTGGCGGGTGCTCCGGTGCGGTTTGCTCCTTCTCCTCTCCTATCGAACATTTATAGTCCGTATCACTCCTCCTTTTTTGTATTTGTTACTTTCTTGTAGAGCCTCTAATCTTTGGCACTTATATGACCTTATTGTGTTGCAAGTGCCGTAAAACTCTTACTAAAACTAAAACAGATTTGTGGTGAACTGCGTGTTAATTTGTACTTTGTCCAGCTCTCCTCCATGGCTGTTTTAGGCTTGCTCTGATTGATGCACTTGTCACAATTATATTTTAAAAAATGAATAGCTTGAGTACAATATGGTTGTGCGGGTGGTTGAAGGGCGCCACTAGTAGGTCCTACTTCCGTACTTTCCCTTTGTTGTTTCTGTCTGTCCATCTTACTTTTTCCCAGCACTAAATGACCATTCTTGTGTCTACGTACTTCTCTTTACTCAAACAAACAAACAACAAATATGGTTGTTACGCCCGAGTTGTTGCCATAATAGTATTTGTGTCAAAGGGGAGTGGGCTAAAGCATGAAGTGATTTCATGATTGTTTTGAAACAAAACCAACCTGGTGGGTGGATGGCAGGTGCTCTGGTGTGGTTTGCTCCTTCTTTCCTATCAAACATCTGTCGTCCTTGTCTCCCCTTCTTTTTTATGTTTGTTACTCTCTTGTAACACTTCTAATCTTCTGGCACTCAGATGACCTTGTGCAGTTGTGAGCGTAGTAAAACCTCTACTAAAACTAAAAAAGCCAACATTCAGTCAAAATGATACTTTGAAGTAAAGAAGCGAAAGAAATATGCTAAAATGCTTCTTAGAACAATTTAGATACAGAGACAGTCTTATTTATTTAATGATTTGTATAACAAGCTTTTCTAAAATTGTCTGCTTTTTGGTGTATACTGTCTCCTGTAAAAGAAGTCTTTTTTTCATATTTTGTTACTGTGCAGGTGATGCCATGGAATTATGGCTACCTGCACACCCATACAAACGACACCTCCTGACTCCAGGCGTTTTTTCTATATCATAATAGCTTAAAAACACTGTCCAAGAAATCCACCTTTCTAAGACAACCACTTTTCTCCTTCTCCTCAAAAAATGGTAGGCGTCTTTGACAATTTAAACAATATTTGAATACTGAAAAAAATGTCTCCTACTTTCTGTCAGGTGTATCATGCCAGGAGGTCTGGAGAAAGGTTTTCCCGACAACAGCCTTCAGCTTATGGTGCAGTCAGGAGCCAAAGGATCCCCTGTAAGTTGTTTGTGCAGAAAGTACATCATTTTTGCATAATTTGTTTATGATATTGTGTATGCTTGTGAAATAATGTATGCTCCATTGTGAATCAAGTTTCCTCGGCTGTTGGTTGGAGGGTGTCACTGATATGTCTTCCTTTTTTCTTTCACTCTGACATTTGTCTATCAATCTGTCTTAACTATTTATCAGAACTAAAGCAGAGATACTGTGTCCATATGGTTCTCTTTATTTGATGAAACGAACAAGTATCCTCATGTATAGATAAAAGTGTTGTAGTCTTTCTTTTTGAATCATAATTTTAAAATATTTTTTTTTCTTCTTCTTTGTCTCATGTCCTGATTTTGGTCCTGATATTTGATATTTGTAGGTTACGTAAAAATGTGTTGACATGGTACAAATTGTGTTACAAGAAAAAAAGGGGGGGGATTGTTTAGTCAGTGATGATGGTGGTGATGAGCACTCTAATGAATCATATTTCTTTTCCTTTGTGTTTCAGGTAAATTGCATGCAGATTTCATGCCTGCTTGGTCAGATTGAGCTTGAGGGTCGTAGGCCGCCTCTCATGCTTAGCGGCCGGTCGCTGCCTTCTTTTTTGCCGTACGACGTCTCCCCGAAGGCTGGAGGTTTTGTGACGGGCCGGTTCTTGACGGGCATCCGGCCACAGGAGTACTTCTTCCATTGTATGGCCGGGCGAGAGGTAGGTGGCCCAACTTTTGGTATTTTATTTAACCATATCCGTACGCCCTGGGGTCATTTTGTACCCCCCAAGGTTGTATTCTTCACATTTTAGAACTCTTCTAGTACAAAGATCTCTTTGAAACTTTCAGTATTTCTCAAACAATCATTTTGACAGACTGCTATGCAAAGCGTATGGATCGGATTGACGAGTAAATATCCTCTTTGGAAAGTGGTGGCACAGAGTTCCCCATGTCGTATGGATACAATAGTAAGACACAGTGTACGGATAGGGTTAAATAATTTTTTGTCTCATGTCCCTTCTTAGGGTTCTGAATTAGTTATGGATTTATTTCAAATAAGGAATAATCATGGAAATATATATATGGCTTCAAACATTTATAATTGCAATGTAAAGAGAAGATATTTAGGAGGTACAGATAAAATTAAGGGTTGAGCATTTTTTTTTTTCTGGGTGGGCTTACTCTGACTTTTGTGCCTGTATTAGTCTCGCGGAAGATTGAAAGATTGCTTAGTTGTGTGACACACTGGACCGTGGTGTAGGCAAAATTTATTTGAATTTGTTTATAAACGTAAATTGAGGAAGGATACTACAATATTCTTACTCAGAAAAAGGTCATGTATGTAAAATTCTGTCGTGCTTTGGGTGGAAGAACCTGTTGTAAACTTTTCTCAAGGTTCTACATAGGAATTCTACCTCGGAAGATGTTGAACCTGTTTATGTGGTAATACAAGTTGTTTCCTGGAAGTGGGTGTTAGTTTGAGAGTCTTTTCTCTTTTAGTAGCTTGTTTTGAATTGATCATGATAAGAGATATGTGCACAACCTGTACTTATTCATTATGGAAACTTTATTTATCAAATGAGTGCTTTGTGTGATGTGATGTGGGCCAATGGCCTTAAACACTGAATAAACTTACTTACTTACTTTGAACTGATACGAGAGAGACTTTAAAAAACTGATATAAGCTGAAATAAATTTGATTTCTTTTCTAAATTAATAGGGAAAAAAAAGGAGAGTTTGTGATACAAAAGAAAGCTTTTATGGTGATGTGTTTTGGCAAAAATAAATTCAATATTTAACGTGACTTGTATGTAATTCATTAATTGTTCCGACTCAAGTGGTGTCAAGCAAGTGTCTGTGACAGGTGGTTTAGATGGGTGGTCACTAGGGTGTTTCCTTGAGCAAGACACGACAACCCTAGCTCAAAATACAGGGCGCGCACAGTGGCGACTGGCAATGGCATGGTTGTTAATTGTTCTGTACTGGAATAATATTGTGTATTTATGAATGTATTTGTGCATGTGTTTAATTTATGTATGTTTGCCATTATATGACTGTAAATAAAATTGCTCTTCTGGGATCAATAAAAGTGTAATCTATTTATTTAAAATCATGTCACTTCTATGCATTCAGGGTCTGATTGATACAGCTGTGAAGACAAGTCGCAGTGGCTACTTGCAGCGCTGTCTGGTCAAGCATCTGGAGGGAATCACGGTCAACTACGACATGACGGTCAGGGACAGCGACGGAAGCCTCGTACAGGTCAGAGGTCAACTTTTCTCTGTGCTTGGGTATCATATATCCCTTTAACTAGCCCTGTTCTGTTCATCTGTGCCACAACTAAAACAATTATATGTAAGAGCGAATGTCTAAAAGTTCAACTGCTTCTGAAAGCAGCTGGACATGCATCTTGTTACTCTCAAGATTTCTTCAATTATAAGCTGGGCTGTGATTAACATAGATGACTGACATTAAGTTGTGCAGCAGCATCATTGCGAGGAAAGAGAGTACATCAGAGCTGGCATCAGTTGTCCGAATATTACTTTCACATCCTCTAGACACAAAAGAGTGCAAATGCTAGAATGTTGCTGTACTATGATCAAGGAGACTCAAGTAAATGTTTCATAGGAGATTCACCCCCCGGGGCAGTGCTACTGACTGAAGTGTCTTTAGGCCATTCTCAAAAGGGGGTACATAATATCTCGTTTATACACAGTAGAATTGTAAATGGGCTGATTCATCAATGTCATGCTCATAACTGTGCCTGAACTACAACAGGGAACTGCTACTTTTTCTTTCCTAGTCCTTACCATCGTAATTTTCCTCTACTTCTTTTGTATGTTTGTCACACTCTTGCAACCCCGCTATTTCCGGGGTGCCTTGATAGTCGAAGCAGACTTTGTGTTGTTGAAGCTAGAGAGGTGAGCAGACTGTATGGACTTCTTTGACATCCACCCCTTGGCGCTCATATAACCTTATGCAGTTGCGAGCGCCGAAAAACCTCTTCTAAAACTAAACTATTACTATTAGGAGATTCAAGGCATCAGAAAGCCCAAGAGAGTGTTTTGTAATTTAGTGCAGTGAAGTTCTCTCTGGACCAAGTGAATGAATAATATTTATCATGGCTGGAGTGTACGAGATGTTAGAACAAGTTTGTAGGGATTTTGAGGACCAATTGGTCATGATTTTGAGCTTTCTGGAGATAAGCAATGATTTACATGTTCCACCCATAAGATATGTTTGAGACTCTGTAGACAGAGTTGTATTTGATTTCTCGGCTCTACACCTGTTGGAGAAAGGCAGTGAGAAGAAAATTGTCATTTTGCTTCTCTGAGCTACCTTTCTACACAGTGTGGAAAATGAAACACAATATGTGGAGGATTGCACAGATCCTGGAGATTTCAAAGTTTTTAGTTTTCTCAAATAAAATCTTGACAATTGGCCATTTTCTGTAATGTGTTATCATTAATAATCTAGTAGCCTATGAGCATGTGCCATATGGCCCATTTTCTGTACTAAGAGTTCTGTTGCTTAACTCTTTAGACCCTGAGTTATTTCCACCGTTTCCCAGAGTTTTTCTCTACCGTCACCTACGAAACCTAGTGCACTATGTCTCATTATAACCCCAAAAGCTTGCCTCTAACTTCTGAATGGCAGAAACAAAGGCTTAGTCATTACTAATAAACTTGGTTCAGGAATAGTTCCGAAAAACAAGCAAAAACTTTCACTAAATGAAACGAAACAGATGTCACTGGTATCGGATGCGCCAAGCGTCCGATGGGGAATAGGGTTATTACTGCAGGACCCTATGGGGTTTAAAGAGTTAAGCCTGTAACTAGGGCGGGTTTAGTGATTTTTTTAAAACCCATGCATCAGGTTGTTTCTTTAGAGTATTGTAATAATAAGTAAATTTTTATTTCCACTATCCCTCTCATTGTCATTCTGTATGCTTTTCAATGTCCGCAGTTTTATTACGGTGAAGATGGCATAGAACCGGCTCGCAATCCGTACCTCAAGCCAGCCTTGTTGCGTTTCCTGACTCAGAATGTCCACACTCTGATCGACAACTGCTCCGAAAGTCCCTGGCTCAATGCAGATAAAGAGAAGAACATCAAACGCACCTGGAAAAAGGTAATGATGTCCTTTTCTGAAAGTCTAGTGGTTATGCTACCGGACTCGTAATCGTGAGGTTGTGGGTTCAGGGGTTCGAGCCGCGGGCCCGACGTAGTGTCCTTGGGAAAGGCACTTTACACAAATATTCCTAACTTCACCCAGGTGGGAATGGGTACTCAGCGAAAGATCTTGTCAGTATGTTAGTGTTTTAGTGCCTACAAATGGCAACTTGCACTGTATGCTTCTCAGGAAGTTGAGATTGTTTCAGAATGCTATCAGGTCTGCTGGGGTAATAGCGAAGATTGTTAAGCGCATAGAGCTTGCTGTTGAGTGGGAATTTGGGCTGTACAAATGCTATCTTTTATCTATTATTTTCTTGACATTTTCAGACACTTTGTGGTCACAACTTGTTATTTTGTAAGTGGAAAGAGGATCATCTGGATAGTGACATTATTTAATGTCCCTCTTAGAAATACGTATAGGTGGGCAGTATGGAAATTTTACACTCTTTACAACTTTATGGTCCCTTGCCGCAATAATGCGACGATGAAAATTATACTTTTCGATCTCTTGACTCAGTTCTGCGATAGGCTCGAGAAGTCCATTGCACTCACTCTCCTGGCTGGGTGACTAGATTGTATTTGCAAAGTGTTATGGTGGCAAAAATGGAGATTAGCAATGAATAGGTTGACAAACACTAGAATTTTACAAACATCTGTTTATAACAATTTTGCTCAATTCATTATGATTGCATTTAAAAATAGCTTCTATTGAGACCAGGCTTTTTTTTTTTTTTAACATGGAAAAATTTGCAAGCCATTTACAAAAACTGACCCACTTCATTTATAATTGTCCTTGCTCTACAGTCAATCCCTTTTTGTTGCAATCAGTCTCTGTGGTCTGTATATACAATATGCCTACACCATGGCGGTATAAACGTTAGCAGTGAGTGGTTGGCGGGTGCTCTGGTGTCTTTTGCTTCTTCTTTCCTATCCAACATCTATCCTCCTTATCTCCCCTTCTTCTTTTTTATGTTTGTTACTCTCTTGTAACATATGGCCAAGTGTCAGGGATTGTTGTTGTAGTATGAAAACTGATTATGGAGATCTGGTCAAATGAGATGATTTTTGTACCGTTGTTTCTGCAGATTTCCAAATGGATGAAGACTTACAAAGAAGGCAAACAGTTCATCAGAAGAGAGAGCGGCTTTTTGGAGTTTTGTAAGAGTGACGCGGCTCCGCCCATCACATCAGAGGACAAAACGACTTTGGTCACAGAGGGCCGGTGTGTGGGTCGTGCAAAAGGGGCCCAGATTCTCACCGAAGCGTGGGCGAACCTCAATGAGGAGAAAAGAAAGAGGTGAATAGTTAGGAAAAGAATATATCTTACTTGTCGTCATTTCCATTTAAGAATTAAAATTCCATGGGACATTATGGAAAGTTTGTCAGTGATTATCAAAATCTCTTCTTGCCAAACAGTGGTGAATGTTTGATCTGGTCCTTGCTATTCCCCTCCATCACTCCCCCCCCCCCCCCCCCTCTCTCTCTCTCTCTCTCTCTCTCTCTCTCTCCCTCTCCCTCTCCCTCTCCCTCTCCCTCTCCCTTACGTAAGCTCATATACGCAGTTCCACCATGCAGAAGCAAAGAAAGCTTCAAAAGTAATTCTTGGTGTAAATGAACTCACTAACTTTACAAGTACTCACTATCTCACTATGTTTTCTTCCCAGCCTGTGCACCAGGCAGAGCTGCCCCGACCCGGTCATGTCCAGGTACCTCCCTCACTCACAGCCAGATGTCTTTTCAGAGAAACTGAGACATGATCTCAACGTCTACATCAAGAAAGGATTTGAGGAGGTGAGAAAAGTCTTTGTTTTCGTGTTTTCATCTATTTGACGCCCTGCACATTGGTCAAAGTTGGCATTAACCCTATCTGTACGTCGTGTTATACTATCATATCCATACGACGTGGAGAACTTTGTGCCACCACTTTCCAAAGAGGAAATTTATTCACTAATCCGATCCATACGCTTTGCATAGAAGTCTGTCAAAATGATTTTTTGAGAAGTACTGAAAGTTTCAAAGAGACCTTCGTTGTAGAAGTATTCTAAAATGTGAATAATACAACCCCCGGGGTACAAAATGACCCCAAGGCGTACGGATAGGGTCAAATAGGAATATTTATGATTTGCAGTGGGGTTGAATTTACAGGGGTTTGTACTCGCTCATCCAAGCCCTTATTGTTTGGGCAGGTTAGATGGGGCAGACTTGTTCACTCAAAGCTTGTTTGCATCACATAGTTTATTTTTCTGGCCTGATGTCATGCATTTTTTACTTTTACTGTATTTCTATGCCTTTTTGGCAATCTTCAAAACTTGCTAGTAGTAGATTATTATATATTTGATGAAATGTCTTGTACCAATCAGTCTATTGCACAAAATATTAGGTTAATGTAAGTATTAGAAACTGTCCAAAAAATACTGTCTGCTCTGTCTTCAGTTGTCTAAAAAAACGCGACTGATATAGCATTTCTGGATGCAATAAATAACATATTGGAAACATTTCTTCATCCTGATTTTGATATAGACAAATGACTTTATAGATGAATATGTTTTTAGGGAATGTTGACGAGATTACTTTCCTATGTACATTTCTTACAAATGTGTGAAAAATGATCAGAATGTTGTTTGCAGTATAAATGTTGCTCACAGGAGCTGCAAGCAGGGAATACTGCTTTCTTGAATGGGACTCTAGAGCATTGATTTACAAACTACTGGACTGAGTACAGAGAGAGCCTGCCCTTATATGACCTTATGCAGTTGCGAGTGCCGTAAAACCTCTACTAAAACTAAAAACTAAAAGAGAGAGCCTGAAAGCTATTTCCTACTGTTAACAACAGGCCTATTGAGAAATATAAAATTCCCCCATTGTCTGTCCTCCCAGCGGATCTGTTATTCAGCTTACCCTGTCTTGAAACAGTTCTCTTCAGTGGCAGGTGCTCTGGTGTGGTTTGCTCCTTCTTTCCTATAAAAAATCTATCATCTCTATCTCCCCTCCTTCTTTTTTGTGTTTGTTACTCTCTTGTAACACCTCTAATCTTCAGCACTTATTTGACCTTATTGTATTGCAAGTGCCGTAAAACTCTTACTAAAACTAGAAAAGAAAAAAGTGATAAGTGTTACTCAGATTAACAAATGCTCTGGTGTGGTTTGTTTCTTCTTTCCTACCAAGCGTCTGTCATCCTTATCCCTTCTTTTCTTGGTTTGTTGCTCTCTAGTAACACCTCTAATCTTGAGTACTTATACAACCATATTGTGTTGCAACTGCCGTAAACTCGTATTCAAACAAGTTCTGAAATTGTTTACAGGAAGCCTCGAAAATGCGCCAAAAGTTGAATCCCGAGTCTTTCCGAACGGCCATCAACAAGAAGGTGGTGCAGTCTATGGCCCATCCAGGGGAAGGAGTTGGGCTAGTGCTGGCACAGGTAAAGTCTTTTCTTTGTTATAGTGTTGTAAAAAATTTGTGACGCAACTTATTGTCAAATATTTCCTCAACTATCGAACATAAACTCTCCAGCTTTTGCACAGTGACTTGTATCAATTTGTCTTCACAGGTCAATATTTTTGTAAATACCTGTTTACTCTTTTCTAAAAAAAATCCTTAATAAATACTTATAAAAAATCCCAGTGTGTGTTTTCCTCAGATTTTAAAAGGTTTACAGCTGGGACAATTTGGCTTTTAAAAGCAAGTCCGCCATTTTTTTCTAATTGCGAGGCAATGTTTATTGGACGCATGGTTTGAGAACGCTTAGTACAAAAAAAATGTTCACTATAGAATCAATTTTTTGTTACTAGATTTGCCATAAAAAAGTGGTGAGCTGTGACGTAGGCCATATGCGTACGCAATATTAGTGTGAGAAACGGGAAGTGGTGTGAACAATTTCATTTTTTGTGTGAAAGAGATTTGTAGTATTTTATATAAATTTATGAAGAAAAGTCTTTTAATCTAGCCTCAGTAGATGTTGAAAAATATGAATAAGTTTAGACATATTAATACAAACTGCTATGCAAAATATGAATGACATTGATTCACCTGTTCAAGAGATATTTGAGGATAAGTTGCGCCACGAATTATTGTTCTGTTGGGGGTGTCAGTTTCTTTTACTTGTGCCATTATTCCCCACATTTTGAAGAACCATCTCCTCAGTCATTGAAATCTGTGTCCGTCTCATGTGGTAGAAGAAGGAAAACCTTTTGTCTTCTTTTGTGCTTTGTGTAAAACTATTATTTTTTTCATGTAGTTTTATGTTTCAGTGCTCTACCTGGGAATTTATAGAACTTCTTTGATGGGCTGCACTTTTCCCGTCACTTTGGTGTAAATTAAAGATATTTGAGTGGGGGTGTGTGTGTTTAACAATGATGGCAATTCCTTTCTTTTTGAGAAAAATTTTAGTAATTCCTTTCTTTTAGAGAGCTACTTTTCCCCTGTGGATTCTCAAGGGTGGTTGACTAAAGGTTCAACTCATATTGCAGTTGTTGTAATAATAATAATAATAATAATAATAGATAGCCTATGTATAGTGCAAATCCCCGCTCAACAGCAAGCACTTTGCGCTTCACAATCTATGTATCTTTGTACATGTGGCCAATTGTCCTACACAGGCATTTTGTACCCCTCGGGGCAGTGCCACTGACTGAAGTGTCTTTAGGCCATTCCCAAAGGGTGGGCATTTCTCGTTCAAGCATAGTAGAATTGTAAATGGGCTGATTCATGTCACCCTCATAACTGTGCCTGATCTACAACAGGGAACTGCTGCTTTTTCTTTCCTGATCCTTACTATTGTCATTTTCCTCTACTTCTTTTGTATGTTTGTCACTCCCTTGTGACCTGCTATTTTGGGGTGCCTTGATAGTCGAAGCAGACCTTGTGCTGTTGAAGCCAGAGAGGTGAGCAGTCTAAGTCTGATTCCCTGTAAAGACTTAAAGACTTCTCTGTTGACACCCACCCCTTGGCGCTCATATGACCTTATGCAGTTGCGAGCGCCGTAAAACCCTGTACTATAAAAAAAAAAGAAGGCATTTTGTCCTTTGGTTTTCAGGCACTTGTATTAAGATACCCTTTGATTATTTATACTGCTTTGTTGTTTCAGTTTATCGATTTTTTATTTAGAACTTTGCCTTGGCAGGCATGGATAGTCATCCTGGGCGGATTTTTTACTTTGTTGTTATTTCTGGCTTTCCTCAGTCCATCGGTGAGCCGTCGACGCAGATGACGCTCAACACTTTCCACTTTGCCGGTCGCGGTGAGATGAACGTGACCCTGGGAATTCCTCGGCTGAGGGAGATCCTGATGACGGGAAGCCAGACCATCAAAACTCCGTCGATGGACATCCCGGTGCAGGCTGGTGAGGTGGCCAGGACCAAAGCCCAGTGGCTGCAGCGACACCTCAACATGGTCACTTTGGACCAGGTACAGATACTTGATGAAATAATGCTGTGCACAGAGGGTGTGGTTGGTGACTGCTCTGGTGTGGTTTGCTCCTTCTTTCTTATCAAACATCTATGGTCCTTATCACTCCTCCTTCATTTTTGTTTGTTTGCTGCTCTCTTGTAACACTTCCAATCTTTGGCACTTATATGACCTTATTGTGTTGCAAACGCTGTAAAACTCTTACTAAAACTAAAACTGTGCACAGCATATTGTGATGTTTTACGCTGCTTAAACATAATCTTGGCATTTAGGAGATGGGCTGCTTCAGCTCAGGGCCAACCCGGCCCAAGTAAGATGCAACTACAACGCCCCAACAGACAAACAACAGGCACACTTGGTGAAAATCTTTCCCACTCGTGAGTCAAACTCACACCTTCTGCATACAACCGTCAAGATATATATCGATACCGCTATATCATACTGAACGCTTGTGAACAGTATTTTATTTCTCCTCCTTTTGCTGAAAAAGCTTGTTGCGTGAAAATGTAACTAGTAAATTGATATTCTCTATATGCTTGAAAATTATACATTTACATTTGAAATGGGACTTGATATCCTGTTATATGTTGATTTCACTCCCATTACTCTTCTCACTGTAGCTGGCTCAGATGTTTCTAACAATCATGAATATATTTGTAATAATTGTTGGCTGTATTTGTTTATTCTTTTTCTTTCTCTCTCCAGTTACTGCAGTCTCTCAGGGTCAGAATAAGTACCAGGAGATCTAACAGGTGAGTTAGGCCATGTCCAGATTGTCCCTATTTGTTTTGTCTTTCTGTTGTTTTTTTAAAATTATTTTTTTTAAGATAGTTTACTCTGCAATGGAGACCAGTAAAACCCCGCGGGGCGGTGCCACTGACTGAAGTGTCTTTAGGCCATTCCCAAAGGGGGGACATTTCCCGTTCTAATGCACAGTAGAATTGTAAATGGGCTGATCCAACAAATGTCATACTCATAACTGTGCCTGAACTGCAACAGGGAACTGCTGCTTTTTCTTTCCTAATACTTACTATCGTCATTTTCTTCTACTTCTTTTGTATGTTTGTCACACTCTTGTGACCCGCTATTTCCGGGGTGCCTTGATAGTCGAAGCAGACTCTGTTCTGTTGAAACTAGATAGGTGAGCAGAGTAAGTCCGATTCCCTGTAAGGACTTCTCTGTTGACATCCACCTCTTGGCGCTCCTATGACCTAATGCAGTTGCGAGCGCCGTAAAACCTCTACTAAACTAAAACGGAGACCAGTAATATTTTTTTACCTATAAGAAATTTTTCTGGGTCTCAATTGCATACATATATAGAAGTTTTTAGAAACTGGAACTTTTTTTCTCCCTAATTATGTTTCATGTTCATTAAAATTTGCTATTTTTATTTTCTTGCAGTGGGAACCAGAAATTAATTGAAGCCAAATTTAAGTTTCTGCCACAGCGAGACTTTTCAAACTTCACTAACTTATCGCCGCGGGCCATCGTGAAGTACATCGTGAAGAAGTTCATACCACGGGTCAACGCCAGCATCCAGAAGGAAAGGAAACTCCTGGAACAGTCATCGTATGTTCACGGGCACATTATTTTCTCTTTGTTCTTGATATGTAATAACACCGTAGTGTACAAATTTATCCCTGAGCCCACTCTGATTATCCACACAAGAAATCTTTTGTTTCCTGACAGTTCGTGTTTTTAATTTGATGTTTCAACGTGTGTTGCTGGTAGCTGAAAAAAGTTGTCATACCTGTGACAGTGTCAGGGAACCCACTCAACCTGGGAAATGGGGAAAAGAGAGGTGTTTCATTGGTATGTTGCGATGCACAGTGATCAAAGGCTTGTGACATGTCTGCTTGGTTTTTTTTGTTTTTGCAAAAGTCAAGCTGACAGCAAATAACGCCTCCCCCCCCCGCCCGCCGCCACCACCAACGCAATCTTCCTTTAGGTTTCATTAATGATCATTGCTTTAAAAGTTTATCTTCTTTTAACTATATTTATGGTAGCCCTCTCTGATTTCATAAATGATAAACTCTTTTCAAAGTACATCTTTCTGTTAACAACATTGATCACAGCAAAATGTTTTGTTTTCTTGGGCAGACTGTTGAGTCGTGGGAAGATGAGAAGATCGGGCGCTGACTCTGAGAACGATAGTCCAGAGGAGACGACCACGCACCGGCCCGAGGAGGAAGATGATGTGGAGGTGGAGCCCAACGACGGGGACATGAGCGCTGTGAAGGAACACCAGCGACAACTTGACACGCAGGAGTACGAGGGCGAGGATGAGGAGAGGAATGCTGTCATTGGTCAGGCCCAAGGTAATAAATGAAGGCGTTGAAGAAGACCTCTTGATGGGTGTGCTGATTGGAGAGAAAATTGAAGCATTTGCTTCTCTCTTCCCACCTCTTATTTATTACTTCTCTAGTTTCAGGGTCTTGAATATTAGGATCTCCCTCTTCCTCTCTTGTTTATTACCTATCTAGTTTCATGATCTTGTGTGTGAAGTTGAGTATGTAGCTTCTTTATCATCATCAATATCATGCCTCTCTCACTCGTTTCTGGGATAATGGCCACCAACACAAGAGCTCTCTATTTCCTTCTGTCTTACGCTTTAGTCTCCATCTCTGTCCTGCTGTGTCCCATGTTTTATAGCCTGGCAGTTCTTCGACGCAGGCTCCTACACACATGATACAAAGCCTGCTCTTCTCTGGTGTTGACCAGATGACAAGGACATGTAGGTACCTGAGGGAGGCATTGCGCTGCCAAAAGCGAAATGCTCGCAGCTAAAGGGATTTGAAAACAACAACATCCCTTGTTTTAGGTCAAGTCTAAGTCCCTGTACCTAGTACTCTTTGGCCTTCTTCGCTTTCTTTCAATGTGGATTCGATCTTAAGACTGACTCACTGAGAATTGTTTATAGTAAGTAGCTTGCTTACAAGCACAATAATGGCTGTATTCAGAACAGATCAGTAAGATAGTTGCAGTGGAAAGAAGCAGACAGAGCTTACACCTATCACCCTCATCTCTTAGGTTTTTTAACATTTGTTTTTGTTTTCTTTTTTGTGTGATTGTTGTTTTTGTTTGTTGTTGTTTTTTGCTTGATTAATTTTTAAATTCACTCAACATATCGGTTGTATAAGTTCTTTGTTAGTTGATTGTTTATTTTTTGTAACAAATATATACCCTTTATTTTTCAGATGTGTGTAGCGGTATACATTTATACCCTTCATTTTCAGACGTTTACCAATTCCTGTGTGTTTTGTTGTTTCACTTATTATATATATTTGTACTTTTCTGTAGATTTCCTAATTTTCCCCTAAAGATTTTAAAAAATGTGTGCGTTTCATCAGATGAAGATCTTGTTGTGGAGGTTGATCCAGCGGATCAAGCAGAAGAAACGGATCAGCTGACCAGTAAAGAGGATGGTGAGGGCAGTAGTGAGGAGGAGGCTGAAATGACTGGGACCCTCAGCAAAGTGGACAAAGATCTCAAGACAGAGGTAAGAAGTGGTGCAGATTAACTGTCGCTGTGAGTTAAAATCTTTCACAATCGGAGATGAAGTGGGAAAGAAGGCGATGGCAATAGGAAGGCCACTGTGGACCTGGAGAAGTCACAACGTGATGTACAGAAAAGTGGAGAGACATGGAACAATGTTTAACTCTTTATCACTGAGGGGGGTAAACCCACTACGCCGGGGCTCTTTCTTTGGTACTAAATCTAAAAATTACAAAAACGTAATTAAATGGGTCATTAAATCTGGACTAGGAGCCTATTTTGATAATTCTTCATCTAATGAATACACTTCTTGTATAAGAGCCGATAAGTAATTTGATGTCAAAGCCGTCGTAAAGGAATGTGCCCGAGACGCTGTTAGCGGCTCATTGGCAGAGGGGTTCCGACCACGAGCTGCTGGGAACGGCTTGCCAGAGATAAAGAGTTAAAAAAACAAACTAGCCCAACATAGGGAAAAACGGAAAATGTTTGTCTGTGGCCTATGGTATACTCTTGTTCAGGATTAGAAAGGTAATGATGACACATTAGCTGTCTCCCTGTGTGGGCCAAGGTGGTGGTGGGAGAGGTTGATGTAGAGGGTTTCATGGCAAAGCCCATAGAGTCTTAAGATTCTCAAATTGACTATATTAAAGTAAAACAGTTATATAATTGTCTGTAGCATTGCAGTTATAATGATACAAATATGTTTTGAAACAACTAGGGAAATGGTTTACTTTACTTTACTTTACTTTTCCGATCCAGCGGCCATTTGGGTTATTAGGGAAATGGTTCAAGACAAGTTTCATAGCTTGTGGCTTGAAGCCAGGATGGGAAATAGACGAAATGCATACAATTTTTGTCAATTATTTAAACTGTTCCAGTCTTACATGCCTTCAGTTTCTCAATCATAACTTAACACTATAATCTATGAACATTGCCCCTTTTCTATCCTAATATATCTGTGTAGTTTCAAAATGACCTCCTATCTGCACTTGTAATATTTCATAGTTGCAACTCTCAAGTCTGTTGATTTCAAGGCAGAAGAAGTTATTTTGTTTTTTGTTGTTTACTTTTCAAGGCACTCAGTCATGATTCAGTGGAGGATTTCAAGTTTTCCAAGAAATTCCGTTGGTGCACTCTGACGTTTAAGGTGAGTATTGAGAATGTTGTCTCTGTCCCTTTTTATTCATTTTGTTCAGGGGAACTTGGAAATGATTGTAAAATACTTTTTTTCTGTTCTACTTCTTTCCTATAAAAAATCTTTCTTCTTTATCTCCCCTCCTTCTATTTTGTGTTTGTTACTCTCTTGTAACACTTCTTATCTCCGGCACTTATATGACCGTATTGTGTTGCAAGTGCTGTAAAACTCTTACTTAAACTAAAAAGAAAAGTTCTTGGATGGGCTGTTGTCTCCGCCTGAGAACCCATCCATTGGGAGGCAAAAGAAAGGCAGGTTCTTTGGCAGGCCAGGTTCTTCAGGGGATTTCTATGGGGTCATCTCAACTCTTGCCTGTTTGTTTCCCTTGCTTATCAGCTGATGAAATAATAACCCATAGACAATACTGGTGCTCAAGGTAAGATGAAGGGGTTTGGTTGTAGTTGCTTTGGTCTGGTTTTGGTAAAAGATGAACCAGCAATGACATGTGCTCGTGTCTATAGGTGTGTGTTAAAGGGACATTCGCTTTCAATATATTAATGGTGGGATATTCTGTTCCTCTCTGAACGTGGGTGGTTGGTGGGTGCTCTGGTGTGGTTTGCTTCTTCTTTCCTATCATATGTCTATCGTCTTTATCTACCCTCCTTTTTTGTGTTTGTTACTCTCTTGTGACATCTCTAATCTTCGGCCCTTATATGACCTTATTGTGTTGCAAGTGCCGTAAAACACTTACTAAAACTAAACCTCTCTGAATGTTTAGAAGAAAAAAAAAATGTTTTTCCCTTTGTTGACTGAAATTTCCATATATGTGACAAATAAAATGGCATTTTGTTTCTCTCTCTCTCCCTCAGTACGACCACCACCAGCTTCAGCTGGACGTGCAGAGGTTGTTTGAGCGGGCGGTCAAGAGTTCGGTGCTGCACAGAGTCACCGGCATCAACAGGGCGTTCTTGTCGGAGGTCCGGAAAGACATGGAACCGGAGCTGCACCTGAAGACGGATGGGATCAACATCCAGGTCTGTGTGTGTGTGGGGGTGGGGGGTGTGGAGAAGACTGTTTCCTCTAGCATTAGCACAGTGGTTCTTATGTTTCCTATAGCACAGTGGTTCTTAACTCTTTAAACCCTGAGTTTTTTCCACCGTTTCCTGGAGTTTTTTCTACAGTCACCTAAACCTGGTGCACTATGTATCATTATAACCCCAAAAGCTTGCCTCCAACTTTTAATAGCAAAATCAAAGGCTTTGTCATTACAAAAAAAACCTTAGATCGGGAATAGTTCTGGAAAACTAGCACTAAATGAAACGCAACAGTTGTCACTAGTGTTGGATGCTATAAGCGTCCGATGGGGATCAGGGCTATTACCACCGGACGCTCCCAGCGTTCGATGCGTCCGATGGGGTTTAAAGAGTTAACTTTGTTGGATGTACTGAACCCTGCAAGTTTCATACATTCACCAAACCCTTTGAGATGGGCAAACGGAACACACACACATACCCACAGGATAAGAGTAGGCTTGGGACACCACTCGAGCTAAATTCAAAATTAATTCCTACCACACTGAAAATCCTTTATGTGTCCCGTGCGCAGTTGTGAGCACCCTAAAACACTTACCTTACCACCTCCTAAATAAGTTGTTTCAACGATACTGAACGTCGTGTTTACGATTCTGTTTTGAATGAATTGCAGGAAATGTTCAAGTATCCGGACATTTTGGACCTGAACCAGTTGCACTGTAACTGCATCCACACCATGGCCAGCACCTACGGGATTGAAGCCGCCTACAGAGTAGTGATCAGGGTAAGTGGGGGTTGGTTAAGCTTATTTCTGATTCATGGCTTTCAGATTGTTGAAAATATATGAAGTGACGGGGTTGAATTCTTCCTGTGTCCCTTCCTTTTGCGAATTGGTAACCTGTTGCTTTATTCTCTTTATATTGTGCTTCTATTTTAAAAAACAGGGGCGGAGACCATGTTTGTGGCTGCCCTTCATTACGAATTTGGCGGATTTGTTACGATTTTTATTCTATTTTAACAAAATATGACCGTAATACCCCTGATTCTGATTTTTAAAAATTTCGGCTGCCCCAACCCACTGCGGTGTGAAAGGGGAGAAATAGTACCTGACCTGTACTGTCACTACATCAGGTGCAGTTCTCTAACTTTAACAGTAGGCTATTAACCCTATCCGTACGTCGTGTTTTGCTATCGTATCCATACGACGTGGGGAACTCTGTGCCACCACTTCCAAAGAGGAAATTTACTCGTTAATCCGATCTGTACGCTTTGCATAGAAGTCTGTTGAAATGATTTTTTGAGAAATACTGAAAGTTTCAAAGAGATCTTCGTACTTGAAGTATTCTAAAATGTGAAAAATACAACCCCGGGGGGTACAAAATGACCTCAGGGCGTAGGGATAGGGTTAACATTCTCTTTGCATTGAGCCCTTGTTGTTGCACAGTGCCACTCTGCCCTTAAGAAAACGGCAGACTTCACAAATTCCAGAGCCAAGATTAAGACAAACATTAGACTGACAAAGTGTAAAAAAAATTTCTACCCTTTTGTGTCGTGGGTGACAGCCTAGGCGAGTGAGAGAATTAAAAAACCCCAGAATCATTGTTTGATAATTGCAACAATTAGCTACGGTGGATGCATGGATGATGTGTTGTGATGCGTAATCAGGATCAAAGGTTTGTGACATATTCTCTAGTTCCAAAGGTTTCTTCAAGCAATAATATCCTTTCACCTCCTTTCCTGCTCTCTAGCAATGTTTTGTCGTCTGCTTTAGTCTCCTCTTTCTGCCCCCACTCCCTCACCTCCTTTGCCCCCTTCCTCTGGGCTCCTGGCTTTTGCAGCCTTTCTACTGCTGCTCCTTGGCTCCTTCTTACTGCTGTCTTTCAGCCACACCCCCGATCTTCTGGTAGGAAAGATGTACACCTAGCCTTCTTGGACAAGGGCGAAAAATCTTGGAGGTCCCGTGTGCAAGTTGCGCATGTTAAAGATCCCTTGGTGGTCTAGAATCGATGAGAGTCAGCTTCGGCCGCTACCTGGGCAAAATTCAAAATATCCTACCAACTGAAAAAGTTTAATGTGTCCCGCGCGCTCATATGATCTTATGCAGTTGCGAGCGCCAGAAAACACTTAACAAAAAAAGAAATTGAACAAAAACCTAGCCTAATTCTTTCAGGATATTAACGGAAGCTCTCATGTTCATTCTCCTTCTTTTTTTGTGTGTCTGTGGCAGGAGATCCAGGATGTGTTTGGAGCGTATGGCATCACGGTGGACTACCGCCACCTGTCTCTGCTGGCCGACTTCATGACGTGCCGAGGCGAGTACGACGCTTTCAACAGACGAGACATCAACTACAACACCTCACCGCTGCAGAAGATGACCTTTGAGACGACCATGAACTTTCTGCTGGATGCTTGCCTCTCAGGAAGTGTGGACACCCTCAAGTCTCCCAGCGCTCAGCTGGTGATGGGAAGACCCATGGGTGTGGGCACTGGCAGTTTTGAGGTGCTGGACCCCCAGTGAAATAATGCTCTTTTTGTACGAAGAGAGATGTTAGTGTGATATCATGAGTAGGTTATTGTGAAAGTTATCAGTTACTAAATAGAAGGGCTGACATCGTCCTAATCTGTATATATGCCCGTAGTTGGCCTTCCTGTTGCTTTGTGCTGTTATTGCTAGCAGCGATTTGGTTACAACAGTGACTTCTTTGCCCTTTTCCTGTCAAGAGCGCCACTGTTTCATTGTCTTCCATTTTGTCACGTTGCCTCCCAACTTTAAGTGACTACCAAAGTCATTCTACCTATTACATCTCCCCCCTCTCCATTAAAGTTTTTTCCAATTGTGGTCTTATTTACTTTCTTATATCTGCATGGCCTTTACGTGGATCTACCAAGAGATCTATTATTTGAGGTCTTGATAGATTTCACTCACATAGACTATTTTCTCAATCATGGTCCTCAGTGTGCTTTAAGAATCTGTAAGAATAAGGCACAGCACCAAGTTTAAGTGTTTAATCTTGCACTTTTTGTGGTTTGACAGACTTCTGTCTTGTCCCTTTGCTGAATTTGAATCTCGTGGTTCTCTCTATATCCAGGTCTTATGTAATTTTGGAACATTAGATACTCTTTACTTACACCTCAGTGACCAGCTGTCCTCTAGTCAGCAGACCGATCAGGACCATGTCTGTCAACTTTGCTTTCTAAGAAAAAGGTGTGCCCATCTCTGAGATCTTGGAATTATGTTCTGAAGTAACTTATGTGTGCCTAGTAAACAATCAAAGAATGTGTTTAGTTCTTTTTGCAAATATTTAAAGAACATGGATTGACACATCCCACTTTCTTCTTCTTTTTTGTCTAACATCTATTGTCGTTATCCCCCCTTCTTCTTTTTTATGTTTGTTACTCTCTTGTAACACCTCTAATCATCTGGCGCTCATATGACCTTATGCAGTTGCGAGTGCCGTAAAACCTCTAATCTACTAAAACTTTTAAAAAACGACATCCCACACAGCCTATTCAATTCCCAAACAACGCTGGCCCTAAAAAAGAAGGGGGGGGGGGGGGTTACTTGTTGGTTGCCGCTTAGTTTTTTTAACTTATTTGTTTTACAGTATTTCATACTGTTTCCATTATGATTTTGTGCCAATATGCCTGCTCTGCATAGAACTTTAGATTATTTTTTGTTGTTTTCCTTGCCAGTGCAGAGAAGGTTGGAGCTTGATTTCTTTATTTGTTGGCTCTGACTCACAAAGTTTTTCCTTGTTTTTGAAGTGTAATTATATAATTATTGACTTTGCATGTGCGAGATGGAGGAAGAGGGCAGGAGCGGAGAAGATGTTATGAAAGAATGATGGAGAAAAAGAAGGAAATAATTATTTGTTTTATAAATGTACATACCTATGTAATTTAATGTAAATGTTTTTGTTCTTGCAGAGCATGTTGCCCACCTGTTGAAAATACATTATTGGTGTTAAGAATGTGTATTAAAGTAGATATATATGATTGTCATGGTTAAACTTGAAATTGGGGAAGACAGGTGATTCTTTTTGTGGTGCTCCTGGAGTAGAGTTCACTATTTTCCTTGTAAACACTGATGCTTTCGTAGCATAGAATATTTCTTTCCCCTTTTAAAAAGTATAAGTGAGTGAAATAAGTAAATGTTACTTTATGGGAAAATGTTTTATGTCTCTGAGACAATGAATTTATCACCATGTGCTGTCTTTCTTGGAAATTTGTTGGATATTTCCAGACAATAAATATTGTTCAAATTTTCATGCACCTTTGTTCACGCTATGTTTGCCTTTATTGCTGAAGCATTTTGGAAAAAGTCAATAAAGTTATTGTGCAAACCATTGAATGTTGTTCTATTTGAATATCTAACTATCTGTTTCTGTTTTGAAGCACGGAAAATATGAGCCTTGGAATGATTGGAAATGGAAGGAAAGTTCATAGCAGCCAAGACCACGTAACGACCGAAAAAAAAAATTTTCCTCTCTAAAATTGTCTCCTTTCACCTTCTTTCCTCCTCTCTACCAATGTTCTATCGTCTGCTTTCGTCTCCACTTTTTGCCCCCACCCCTCACCCCCTTTGCCCTCTCCTCTGGGCTCCTGACTCTTTCTGCAGCCTTTCTACTGTTACTCCTTGGTTCCTTCTTACTGCTGTCTTTCAGCCACACCCCTGATCTTCTGGTAGGAAAGACTACACCTACCTGTAGGAGAAGTTTGGTTTCATTGGTGTGTATATCTGTTTGGTAATAGAAAAAACTCTCCTTGCCTTTAAAAAAAAAACTGAACAAGGGGCAAAAACTTTACCTTCGATTTTCTCAAAACAGTGTTTTTCGGGATAGCCCCCGTGTGCTTAAAAGCGACCATTTGAAAGATGCGTCTCTAGTTGTGGCAGTGCTTTTCTAACAGCTGCCCAAGATAATATGACTGACAAAAACTATTCACTGTGCAAAATTAGTTTCTGAAAGAAGTAGGTCTGCCCATAGCTACGTCATATTATATATAGAAAAAAAAGAAACATGCGTAGATTAGACACTGGTTGTTTTTCACCTAGATATCAGTTCAAATTTTCAAAATCTTGAACACATGTAAGTGTATCTGTAACTTAAATACATCTAGACCAACTTTACCACGAGGCTGAGTAACTTTCATCACAGGGATCATGTGACCTTCTTAGCTCGTTGAGGACATCTGCATTCTGGTTATTTGACAATGCTTAAGGACATGCTGTTTTAGGGCACTTGTTTGTGGTTGGCGGGTGCTCTGGTGTGGTTTGCTCCTTCTTTCCTATCGAACATCTATCGTCCTGATCTCTCCTCCCTTTTTATGTTTGTTACTCTCTT